GCTTTCTCTGACACTCTGGGTTCTTTTTCTAGGTCTCTCTCTCAACACATCCCCATCCTAAGCTGCATCTTCTTCTCGAACAAGGTAGTTTTACATATTTCAGAAGCAATATCAACTTTTGAAACATTTGTTTGGGTTTAATCTTCCGCAGAAATCCATATAATCAAATTGCAAATTTATTTATGCATTTCAGTAATTTGATTACTCTATGTTGTTTGATCTAATCCCTTAGTAACTGAGGTTTACAAAGACTTTTTAATATGCATTATATTCAATATATATTCACTGGATAAAAGTGATATACTTTGCCTTGCATTTATAAAGATGATACCAGTGATGGTGGATATGATTTAGCAAACATCTATTAGGGACTTGCTATATGCCAGGCATTGAGGATACAAACACATGTTGAAAGGGCATGAATTCAAGAGAGGCAGAGTTGTCTCTATTTGCGGATAAAATGATATTATATGACGAAAACCCTGAGGACTCTACCAAAACAACTGTTGGAACTGATAAATTCAGTAAAGTTGCAGAAGAAATGCCAATATACAAAAACCAGTTGCATTTCTATATGCTAACAATGAACTATCAGAAAGAGAAGGTAAGGAAACAATCTCACTCACAATTGCATCACAAAGATTAAAATAACTAGGAATAACTTTAACCCAGGAAATGAAAGACCTGTACAAGGAAAACTATAACACACTGAAGAAAGAAAATGAAGACACAAATTAATGGAAATATATCCCATGTTTATGGATAGGAAGAATTAATATTGTTAAAATGTCCATACTGGGACTTCCCTGGTGGCGCAGGGGTTAAGAATCTACCTGCCAATGCAGGGGACATGGGTTCAATCCTTGGTCTGGGAAGATCCCACATGCCGCAGAGCGACTAAGCCCATGTGCCACAACTACTGAGCCTGCACTCTAGAGCCCATGAGCCACAATTACTGAAGCCTGTGTGCCTAGAGCCCATGCTCTGCAACAAGAAAAGCCACCACAACGAGAAGCCCGCACACCGCAACGAAGAGTAGTCCCCGCTCACTGCAACTAGAGGAAGCCCGTGTGCAGCAACGAAGACCCAATGCAGCCAAAAATAAATAAATAAATAAACAAAAATTTTAAAAATTAAAAAAAAAGAATCTTTACCACAGTGCAACTAAGCCCATGCGCCACAACTACTGAGCCTGCGGGCCACAACTACTGAAGCCCAGGTGCCTAGAGCCCGTGCTCTGCAACAAGAGAAGCCACCACAATGAGAGGCCCGCACACCACAACGAAGAGTAGCCCCCACTCGCCACAACTAGAGAAAGCCCGTGCGCAGCAACAAAGACCCAACACAGCCAAAAATAAATTAAAAAAAAAAAAAGAATCTTAAAAAAAAAAGTCCGTAATACCCAAAGCAATCTACAGATTCAATGCAATCCCTATGAAAACAATGGTATCTTTTCACAGAAATAAAACAAACAATCCTAAAATTCATATGGAACCACAAAAGATCCCCCAAATAGCTAAAGCAATCTTGAGAAAGAAGAACAAAGCTGGAGGCTTCACAATTCCTGATTGCAGACGCACAGATCAATGGAACAGAATAGAGAGCTCAGAAATAAACCCATGCATATATGGATATATGGTCAATTAATTTATGAAAAAGTAGCCTAGAATATACAATGGGGAAATGATAGTCTTCAATAAATGGTGTTGGAAAACTGGACAACCACATACAAAAGAATAAAACTGGACCCCTGTCTTACACTATACACAAAAATAAACTCAAAATGGATTAAAAACTTTAATGTAAGACCTGAAACCATAAGATGCCTAGAAGAAAACATAGGGGGTAAGTTCCTACACTTCAGTCTTGGCAAAGATTTCTTTTAATTTGACACCAAAAGCAAAGACAACAACAACAAAAAGCAAACATAAACAAGTGGGACTGTATCAAACTAAAAATCTTCCGCTGAACAAAGGGAACCATGAACAAAATGAAAAGACAACCTACAGAATGAAAATATTTGCAAATTATATACCTGATAAGTGGTTAATATCCAAAATACACAAAGAATTCAAACAACTCAACAACAAAAAACAAACAGTCTGTTAAAATGTGGGTAGAGAATCTGAATAGATATTCTCCCAAAGAACGCATACAAACGGCCAACAGGTACATGGCAAGGTGCTCAGCATCTCTAATCATCAGGGAAGTGCAAATCAAAACCACAATGAGATATCACCTCACGCCTGTTGGAATGGCTGTCCTCAAAAAGACAAGAGAAAAGCGTTGGTGAGAACGTGGAGAAAAGGCAACCCTTGTGTATGTCACCTGATTTCATAGTTCATGCTCTGATGCGCTCCTCTGCGCAGCCTCTTCTACCCCAGCTGCCCCTCTCTGTCACCCCTGACGGTGAGAGCTCATGAGTGATGGTGAACACAACACAGGGGTGTCAGCATCCTTTCCTGTTGCCTTTCCTGGGGCTGGCTGTCCTGTACCCTAACCTGAATGTCACCATGTCAGAGGTCCTTGACAGAAGCTGCTTGGAAAAGCAGAGTGTGCTACGGCCTAGAGCAGTGAGGGTCTCCATTCAAATACTCCAAAATATCCCAAGCTTCCAGAAGGACAGAATCCATGGTGTCTGAGTGACTTCAGGCCATGAGGGAGCCCCGGGCACTGCAAGGCCTGCACGTGGACTTGACCTCTCCTTGGGGCATCTGAAACTAAGGTCATTGATTCCAGAGTATTGGGTGGACCAGAGAGCTTGGTGTGTAGCAGAAAGAGCACAGGATTTGGTTGAATCTTGGCTTTGAATTTGTCTCTGTCCCAAGCATGTGGCTTTTTTCCCCTTTCAGTGGCCTCAAGTTTCCCTTTCAATGGTTTCAAGTGCGTCAAGAGTGGTTTTACGGGACTTCCCTGGTGGCACAGTGGTTAAGAATCCACCTTCCAGTGCAGGGTACACGGGTCGAGCCCTGGTCCGGGAAGATCCCACATGCCGCGGAGCAACTAAGCTGGTGCGCCACAATTACTGAGCCTGGGCTCTAGAGCCCACGAGCCACAACTACTGAGCCCATGTGCCACAACCACTGAGCCCTCGCCACAACTACCAAAGCCCGCTTGCCTAGAGCCTGCACTCCACAACAAGAGAAGCCACAGCAATGAGAAGCCCGCGCACTGCAAAGAAGAGTAGACCCACTTGCTGCAGCTAGAGAAAGCCCACAAGCAGCAAAGAAGACCCGATGCAGCCAAAATAAATAAATTAAATTAAAACAACAAAAAAAAGAAGGGTTTTACGTGCATGCCAGCCTGAGAGAAGGCCCAGTGCAGACACAATCAGAGAAGGACTGGGAGTAATCGGGAGGGCTTACTAAGGACTCTGAACATGCTAGACCACGCTCACCCTGGAGACACCAAGGTTACCCCAGAGGCCACCAGCAAGTCCCCATCCACCCGGCACCCCTCACGGAAGCCTCCACTTCGTCTGGGCTCGGCCTCCTTGGCTTCCACTTCAGGCCTTTGGGGAGAGGTTTATGTTAACCAACAAAGGGATTCTCTGAGAAGCCTGGGAACCCAGAAAGAAAAGCACGAGCTGAACTCTCCGTCTGCCTGCCTGGCAGTTGTGTAAGAGCTGGAGGGGGCAGGGGAGTGGCCGGGTCAGGGCGGCTCACAGTGGCTGCAGTCAGTCCCCGTCTGCAGGCGAGCCAACTCCGCTGACAGGCTGGGCCTCTCCCACAGGTTTTCCCTGGGACGAGACAAAAGAGGAATAGAGACCAGGAAAAGGGCCAAGGTCTCAGATAAAAATTAATTAACATTATCTATTTTTCTTTCTCTTTCTGAAGGTAATCTCTTAATCCTAAGAACTGGGATTCACGTGTGCCCCTTGGTCTATAACAAAAAGGGAAGGTCAGGAGGAATCTGTCACGTTCAAGGTCTCACCTATTACGTTTACTTTTCTCAGTGGCTCTCTGTGTGGCGACCTCCTGTGAAGTGAAATAGGCCTCTAGGCTCTGACTAAGATGAGACAATCATGGCCAAGGATGGCCATCACCACAAAAGCTTTGATGCGGAGAGACTGGAAACCGCAGGGAAATTGGCACGTCAGGACTTGAGTTACTAAGGGAAAAGGAGGGACCGTAATCGTTTCTCAAGTGCTTTCCAAATAAGTCTTTATTCCGTCAATAGATTTTTCTCTATAGCCAATTACACTCCACTTTCTCTCTGCCTCTATCCAGGTACCATGTTAGGGACTAAGAAATCAGAGGCCTTGGAATTAGAAGGTTCTTTCTGAGGTCTTTTTGTCTAGGCTTCTACGCTATCAAGATAGGAAAGCCTTCGCTCTCCTGGTCTCCATCATTTGGAAGTGGGGAGGAGGTGGCAGAAAAGGGATGACAGGAAATACAAAAAGTCATTTGGAAGCAATTGGAAATTGGGAAGCTACTCCCATTCTTTACCTAAGTAAATGGACCACCGTTCACTCGGTTGTTCAAGCCAGACCCTTGGGCAAGCATCACTGGGCCCTTCCCTCATCCCCTCTGCATCCACCGTGAGGGATCCAAGCCCTTGTGACCTCTTGCCTGGGTTATTGGAATGGTCTCGACTGATCTCCTGTCTAACGTGTCACTGTCCTTCAATCTAACAACCAGAATTTTCTTTCTACTATACAACTGGATCATGTTTCTTCTCTGCTTGAATGGTTCCCCCTTTCTGTCAGAATAATTTCCAAACTACTAAGTATAGCATTCAAGACTCCCCATGGGGGCTTCCCTGGTGGTGCAGTGATTAAGAATCTGCCTGCCGATGCAGGGAACATGGGTTCGAGCCCTGGTCTGGGAGGATCCCACATGCTGCAGAGCAACTAAGCCCCTGCGCCACAACTACTGAGCCTGCGCTCTAGAGCCCGTGAGCCACAACTACTGAGCCTGTGTGTCTGGAGCCTGTGCTCCGGAACGGGAGAGGCCACGACAGTGAGAGGCCCGCGCACCGCAATGAAGAGTGGCCCCCGCTTGCCGCAACTGGAGAAAGTCCTCGCACAGAAACGAAGACCCAACACTGGCAAAAAAAAAAAAAAGTGGAAGTGTAGCAGTTACATAATAAGAGACTCCCCCCATGATCATCAGGCTGATGCTTCTGCTGCCATGTACCCCCCAGTATTCAAAGGCTACCCTGAACTAGTATGATGTGCTCCAAGTTGCCTCCTGAACCTGGTACACTCTTCCTGGATCATCCCTTTCCCCACTCTGGCTAACTCTCGTCTGTCCTTCAGGCCTCAGGTTGGTTGTCCCTTCTTCTGGGTCGCTTCCCCGAACCCCTGCTACCCTGGATTAGGTACCTTTTCTCTTCAGTGGATTCCCACGACCTTCAACCTGTAGTGGCAACTCTCCCCATTGCCATGTCTGTCTCCTAGACTAGGCTGCAAGCTTGTACAAGTAGGGTGGAAAGGCCTTCTCCATGTCTTTAATTTGCATGAATTCAACGGTGTGTCCATATTAAAAAAGAGGGAGGGAGAGAGAGAGTGAGAGGCTGTTATTTCAACGGTATGAGCAATCCTGAGTGATTTCCACTGGGCATCAGTCAACCTACAGGTGTCCCCACATGGTGTCTTAGTGAGATGAACGCGAAGCTCGGCTTGAAGGTTCTGTTTGCTTTTGTTTTGTTTCACATCACACGGCCGCTAAACGTAATCCACAGGCACCATCTAGTGAGGAAGCAGCAATATGGTCCAGCACTGGAGGAGGTGCTGGTGACTTTGGACTTATTGAGACACTGGGTTTCATTCTCTAACACAGTGCATCCCTAAGGGATTTTCAAGATGATCGATGCTAGATTTAATTTTTGCTTTCTGTGTGATTTTTAGAACGAACACCCCTGTAAAATACAACTCCGCTCTACTAGCCAAGCTTGCCCCCCTTTCTCCTGGCAACTACATCCTCACGCCATTTATATGGCTATTACAGGAGCTGTCATGGTCTCACCTGACCCAAGAGAGGACAACAAATATCTTCTTCTCCAAGATTACTGAGTTTGAGGTTCAGATAATTAAAGCCACGTTCTTTCTTGCAGGTGAAGCTGTAAGATGAAAAACTCAAGGGCCCTATTTTTCAGCACATGACAAAAGCTAGTCCACTGAAAGGAACAGACAAGATGGAGAGAGACGTGACCTGAAAACGGCAAAGGCCGGGTCAGCAGGTATGTGCTCCTTACCACTGGAGGGTTGTAGGCAAAAGCCGGGTTGGGGAGGATGGGGTACTACTCATCGGATATACGCTTCCTTGGTGCTGATGTAGGGCATATGAAGAAAGACGGCTGCCCTGGTGAGCTTCAAGCCTGAATCTATGTGATTCCAAGGGGTAGGAGAATAGGTGGGGGGCAGTAAATGTCGGGGTCGGGGGAGGTGAAAAGGAAGAATGGTGAGGATGGGAGAGAACTGAGTTAGTTGGGACAGAGATGACGTAGAGTGGATTTAGACAGAAATATTTAGCCTGAGATCTAACTTACTCTGCAAAGTTAAGCAATGGAAAAAATGTGCCAGAGAGAGGTTAATGCCCCCAAAGTTACACAGCTGCGACAGTGGCAGAGCCCAGATTTGAACTGCAATCTCTGTGGCTCTAAGGTCCATGCTTACCAATCATCTGGTCTAATCCCTTCTTCTAACAGATGAAGACAAAGAGGCTTTGAGACATGAAGTGACTTGCCCAAGGACACCAAGATATTCCAGCAAAACGAATCCTAGAACCACCAAAACCCAGTGAAATACTCCTTCTAGGCCATTCATGGCCTCCTACACAATCAGAGAGAAAGTGGAGGGGGAGGTACTGAATCCCTACAAGGCTCTGAAAAGGCCCCTTCCCTCGTCTGTGCCCGTCACCTCCTTGACAAACTAGGGAGGAGGCTGACGAGGTGTCACAGGGAGTGTGAGGCACTTGGAAAATATAAATCCCTTGATGAGGAGAGTCCAAGCAATTACTTACTTGTCAACTTAGGAGGGTAGGGCGGGATTAATCTGAGCTCAAAGATCAGGGTGAAAACAAAGGTGTAATTATTACTATAACAATGATAATAATTTATTAACCTGCAGATTCTATACAAATATTACTCCACCCTTGAGTAGTTTACCTGTTGCAATTGGGGCTAAGCCACTGGCGAAGGTGGGGATGGGACGGAGAGAGGTAACCAGAAACGACGACGGCCAGAAGGTAAGAAAACAAACTGGAGAAAGCAAACCTGCTGATGAGCGGGTGATGGAGGCTGACGGTGGTCTGACAGGCAAGACATCTGATAGTAAAATCATAAGCTGTTTCTAGCAGGGAAGGTTTTTCAGTGGAAACCAAATTTCTCATTTTTTTGTATCAGGAACTAAAAACAAGAATGTTAAGTGAACTACCTAAGATCACATAGCTTGTCAGTGACAGAACTTGAACTAGAACTTGAGTCTTTTTACACTTAGTTCTGTGCTGGGCCAAGAAGAACCTACATGCAAGCCGGAGAGTGCAGCACATTGGGGAAGAGAAAGACCAGAAGACAAGGTGTTACGATACAGGTCACAGGGGCTGGTTCACGCCGATCAAATGCCCGTCTCGGTTTTCCATCAACACCCTCCCCCTGCCAACGCAGTTCAAAAAATATAACAGGGCCCAAATCAAACTGGCTGAGAGTGGGAGAGAAATTGTCGGCTCCCAGTAAGATAACGTGCTGCTACCACTGGAGCTTTTTTATTTTTCCAGAAGTGAGAATCCATATAAAGGAAGAAGAAAATAAAAGACATCATGAACCAATGCCTTCTAGTAATTTCCCTCGCCTCTCGAATCAAGCACCCTCGGGTCTCCCATCTACATATTCTCACAGCAACACGCACCTCTTCTTGGCAGCCCTGACCACCGAGGTGACTTTACCTGGAGTCTTGGGGCTACATGATTGACACCTGCTTCCCTTGCTAGACTGCAAGCCTGGTCAGGGCAGCAATGCCCTCTGACTGTATCACCAGTTTGTCTTTGCTTCCTGGTTTGGAATTTGGCTGTAGTAGCTAAGATGTGTCACCCAGACCCCCTGAAAGGAAGACCTTGCTGCCCATCTGTGGGGAACACAGCCAGCAGACAGCCCTCCCGCTGTCAGCAACTTCAGGGTCTGGCTCAGCTGCAGAGAGCGGTACCTCTGAAGGCCATACCTTTGGCGAGTGGGCAGTCCATGTTTGGTGACTGAGTGAAGCAGGGGATAGTGGATTGACTGGTGGTCCCCAAAAGATGTCCTAACCCCCAGAACTTGTGAATGAGACCTTATCTGGAGAAAGGGTCTCTGCAGATGTAACTAAGTTAAGGATCTCGAAATGAGGTCATTTGGGGTTTAGAATGGGCCCTAAATCCAGTGACAGATCCTTATGAGAAAAAGGCAAAAGTAGATTTGAGACTGAGACACACAGAGGAGAAGTCACGTGAAGACAGAGGCAGAGACCGGAGGGATGCTGCCACAAGTCAGTGGGACACCTGGAGCCACCAGAAGCTGGAAGAGGCCAAGAAGGATGCTCTTGCAAGCTTAGGAGGGAGCACGGCCCTGCTGACACCCTGATGCTGGACTTCTGGCCTCCAGAACTGCGAGGGAAGGAAATTCTGTTGTTGCCATTGGTTACAGCATCCCTAGGAAATCAACACACAGGGGGCATAAAGGGCTGCATCTGGGCCACTGCGGCATGACTGTCACTAGTTCCGGCTCCAGAGTTCACCGCTGGGTCCCTGAGGTTCCGTCAGGCCTAAACCATGTTTGACTTTTTCTTCTGCTTAATCTGCTTTCTTCCTTCCTCCTCCAACAGATTTTGATCCCTAATAAACACCTCACACTCTAAACTCGGGCTCCCTGACTGCTTCCAGAGAACCCAGCATGACACGCTATAATAAGGTATTTGTTAAGTGAATAAATTAAGTAGACAGTGAGCTCCTGGGAGGAAAGAACTATGTCTTTTTTTTTTATTTTAATTTATTATTATTATTATTTTGGCTGCATTGGGTCTTTGCTGCTGTGCATTGCCTTTCTCTAGTTGCAGCGAGTGGGGGATACTCTCCGTTGCAGTGCGCCTGCTTCCCATTGCGGTGGCTTCTCTTGTTGCGGAGCACGGGCTCTAGGCACACGGGCTTCAGTAGCTGTGGCACACAGGCTCAGTGGTTGTGGCTCGTGGGTTCTAGAGCACAGGCTCAGTAGTTGTGACACATGGGCTTAGTTGCTCCACAGCATGTGGGATCTTCCCGGACCAGGGCTCGAACCCGTGTCCCCTGCATTGGCAGGCGGATTCTTAACCACTGCGCCACTAGGGGAGTCCCAAGAACTATGTCTTATTCGTGTTTACAATCTTAAAGCTTGGCACAGTATCTCACACAGAATACGTGTTCAATAACAACGTCTTATATCAAAGAAAGAATGCACGAACATACAAAGAGTTTGAACTGAATCTATAGATCGAAATGAATTTTGGTACAAAATACTTTTGTGTATTTCTGTGAGCCTCCACTGAGGAGGGAGGGAGGGAGGAAGAGTGATCATACTTCACTGTGTCATGAACTCTGCTAAGCACTGTCTTCAGGCTCTTGTGAGGGTGGGAACAGAGGACACAACCTCCAAGAAGGACAGCTTTCCCCCTGAGGGCAACATTTTTGTTCTTGCAGTGCTAAGACTCTCCCTATCAGCATGCAGAAATGACTTCACCACCGTGCCCCCAGCCATTCTGACATAAATCCTCATGGATAAACATTTTTAGTGTAAAGAGCAAAAATGAAACAGAGGGGACATGTTCAAACAAGGCGGTGGAATGTGGGTAAAGGAGAAAGAATTGCCACTATTTTCAACAGTCGAAAAGTCTCCGTGAAGGAAATGGGATTTGAGAAGCACTGTCCGTCACAGCAGGTTTCAGAGGATCAGGACCTTAGAGGTCATGTACCACAGCGCCTCCTTTTATAGATGAAGAAACGGCAGCTCAGAGACAGCAGGGGATTTGCTCAAGGTCCTGCTACCAGGTGCGCAGCAAAACGAGGCTAGAACCTCACAGTTCTTCCCGATACATTTGAATGGGGCAGCGGGAAGGAAGGAAGGAAGGAAGAAGGGCAGGAGGAAGTGGGGGAGGGAGGGGGGCACTGGCAAAGTGAACAGGGTTTCAGCACATGTAGGGGAAGGAAATCATCCGGTTCTGGCTAGGTGCTTCAGACAGATTATGTCATTTATTCCCTGTAACAAGAATGTGAGGCGAAAGCTGCCATCTTCATTTTATCGTCTAGGATGGTGAACTCAGAAACACCGGGTGAGCTTCCCAAGTAAAGGACAGAGCTAGGATTCAAAGTCTAGTGTGACTCCCCAAACCATACTTTTCTAGGACAGCGTGTTACAAGGGAGAAGGTGAGTATAAAGTGGAAAGTCGAATGAAGGATTAGCAACGATAGGTGGGTCACCTGTGGGGGAGACTAGGAAGGAGAACAGGAGTGGGGTTTGAGTGACTCAGGAATTCCCAGAAAAGAGTCTTAAAGCTCGGAGTGACAGTAATAGGGCAGTGGAAGCTGTCTTCTTGTCTACAAATGTGTAAGCAGAGAGGAGGGAAGGTAGCAGTGTCTGTGCCTGGAGTTTGAGGTAAGAGTTGGTGTTCAAGGTGTAACACTGGGTAGGCAGAGGGGCCATGATTACCCCCGTGAGGAGATGCTACCACTCGGCAGTACTGATGGCACGACTCTGGAAATGGGAAGAAATAGGGAGACGTGGAAGGTCTGAAGAGCTACGTCCTAGGAGTGACAGCGAAACAGCTGTAAATAGAGTCTCACAAAGACCGCAAAGGTGCCTCAAGTCAACCTAACTCATGTTGGATTGAGGAGATCTGGTCCTCGGTTGCCTGGGACAGGATAGAGTAACTCTTCTCTAGAGTGAGAGATGGTCATTCAGAGCCTCTACAATATTACATATCCAATAGCCAACGTCCAGTAAATACTTATCAGAAATAGAACCAAGGGAAAAAAGAGAAAATGGAAATATATACATAGGTGATCCAGATAGGAATTATCTGACAGACTTTAAAATAACTATGACTATATTCAAGACAATAGATGACAAGACAGGAAATCTACCATAGAAACAGAATCTTGAAAAATATCAAATAGAATTCTGAAAGTGAAAAATGCCATAATGGAAATTAAGAAATCCGTAGATGGTTCAAAGAGCAGATTGGACACAGCTGAAGAGAGAATTCATGTGCTTGAAGACAGACACAGCTAGAGACAGACAAGAGACTTATGCACAGATATTTTAAAAGAGGGAAAAGTATAGAAAATAACATAACAGACGTATGAAACATGATGACAAATTTAAATATAAACAACTGGAGTCTCTGAGGGGGAGAAAAGACAGAATGCACAGAAAAATATTTTGAGATAATGACCAAGAATTTTTTTAAAAACATCAAAACATATAAGATAGACTAAATAAGAAAAAGAAACCAGTAGAGGGATAAATACAAAGAAAACCACATTTAGGCACATCAAAGTAAAATTATTAAAAACCAAAGATAAAGAGAAAAGATTAAAAACACCCAGAGGAAAATAAAAACACATCCCCTTCAAGAAAAGAGCAAAACTAAGACTGACAGCTGACTCGGCTCATACAATGGCAGCCTGCTGAAGACATCTTTAAAGCAATGAAAGGAAAAAAAACAAAACAGAGTTACTGAGGAGAAAGAAAATCCAGAGGACACCTTTAAAGCACCAAAAGAAAACAGAAAACACAAAAACCTGTCAACCAGAAGTTATTTACACAGTTAAAATAATCTTCAAAAAGGAAGGCAAAATAACATTTACAAGCAAAAACTGAGAAAAATTGTAGCTGGAGGAGTTTGGCTGAAAGAAATTCTAAAAACAGTCCTTAAGGCAGAAGGAAAAATGCTCCCAGGCAGAAACGGAAAAATGAAGGAAGGAATTAAGAACAATGTAAACCATAAATATGTGAGCACATTTAAATGAATATAGATGATAAAGTAATAACAATAATTTCTCATTAAGTGTAAAATAGATACAGCATTTAAATGCATGACTATAATTTTAAAAAGCTAAGAGGAGGGTAAACTGAATCAAGGGATTTTAAGATTATGGCATTGTATGGGAAGGTGAAAAATTTTAAGATTATGGCATTGTTTGGGAAGGTGAAAATCCTATTTTATGTTACGTTCTAATAAATCCAAAATGCATCTTGTAATCTCAAGGCGAAACACTAAAAGAATAGTGAAAGAATATATAGCTAACAAGTTATTAGACAACATATAATATAACAAAATATAACAAAAGTTGAATAATCTAAAATAAGGCAAAAAAGGAGAGAAAAAGGAACATAGAACAGGTGGTACAAATGGAAAATGAATAGTAAGATAATACATAGAAGCTGAAATAGTCATTGTTTATAATAAATGTGATGGTCTAAACGCTCAAATATCAATAGAATGTAAAGATCGTTAGGCTGTATTCCAAACAGAACAAGTCATATGCTGTTTACAAGAGACACACCTCAAATACCAGGACACAAAGTTTAAAGTGGGAGACTTTAACACATCTTGTTCTATAATCAATAGAACAAGCAGACACGATAATCAACAAGGTTTGAGAATATTTGAATGTGATTAATAAACTCAATATAATTGACATATATAGAACTCTAAACCCATTAACTTCAAGACATACATTCTTTTCAAAGGAAATGGAACATTTACCAAACAGACCCTATTCTGAGCCATAAAGAATTGTCAGTAAATGTCAAAGGATTGAAATATTCAGTGAATAGTCTGCCCGGAGTAGGATTAAGTTAAAAAGCTGTAACAGAAAAAAGTGGAAAATCTGCAAATGTCTGAAAATTTTTCTTTAAGGAAGAGGTGGATAGTGATAGGAGGGACTTGGGAGGGAGGGAGCTTCTGGGTTCTAGTAATGGTCTATTTCTTGATCTATTTCTTAATTGGTTACACTGATGTGTCCACCTTGTGAAAACACTGTTGAGCTGAAACTTACGATCTGTTTATTCTTCTCTATGTATACAGTGCATAAATAAAAAGTTCATTTACAAATGAGGTTGGACTGGGAAAGGAAGACCTGGGACAAGAGTATGATGAGAATAAATTTAAGAAAAGTATAAGAAAAAAATGTACTGGTTTTGAAAGTGCAGTGGAAGTAGTCCCATTTAGCAGTCAGGAAGTTTGAGCTCTCATCTGTGTGATGTTGAATCATCATCACCTTTCGCTGGCCTCAGTTTCCTCATTTGTAAAGTGGCTCTGCAGGTCCCAGATCTGATCCATGATTTTATCACAAAGTTCACGTGTGTACTAAGTGGGAAAGCCTGAGTCTTTCCTGCCACAATGTATACTCACACATCATTCCTCATTATTTGTAACATCATTCTCTCAGAGAGAGAACACTGACAATCCAATGTCATCAATAACTTACCTGCCAATGGCAGTTACCTTATAGGACATTACTAGCACCCCAGAATCCCACCTTGGGTCATTTCAGAATCTTCTTCTTGCCGTAAACGTATCTGGACTTTTACCACCATTAACCAGCTTTGCCTGTTGGTAAGTAGCTGTTTTTTATTCCCCTCACCAGCTTGCTTTCTGTACCAGATCCGTGGAAAACCTGAGGCAGGGTGTGTGTGTGTGTCTCACTCTTGACTTAGGGCTCTTCTTTTCTTTTTTTTAAAAATTTTATTTATTTATTTATTTTTGCTGTGTTGGGTCTTCGTTTCTGTGCGAGGGCCTTCTCTAGTTGCGGCGAGCGGGGGCCCCTCTTCACCGCGGTGCGCGGGCCTCTCACTGTCGCGGCTTCTCCTGTTGCGGAGCACAGGCTCCAGACGCGCAGGCTCAGTAGTTGTGGCTCACGGGCCCAGTTGCTCCGTGGCATGTGGGATCCTCCCAGACCAGGGCTCGAACCCGTGTCCCCTGCATCGGCAGGCAGATTCCCAACCACTGCGCCACCAGGGAAGCCCTCTTTTTTCTTTTTTTTTTTAACAATTCGGTACGAAAGCCATCAAGAAGGGCTGAGCAGGGTAGACATCCATGCAGTGGTGTGGGGCGGGATGAGGGAGCCCAGAGCAGAGTCAGAGCCTGAGCAGGATAAGAAGGAGTCCACGTGGGGAAGGGGTGACCCAGCACAGGATGCCAGAGTCTGTGTGGGAAGAACTCTGCACTGGGACTGACACACACACACTACTGCATATAAAATAGATAACTAATAAGGACCTACTGTACGGCACAGGGAACCCTACCCAATGCTCTGTAATGACCTATAGGGGAAAAGAATCTAAAACAGACTGGATATATGTATATGTATAACTGATTTACTTTGCTGTACACCCGAAACTAACAGAACATAACACAACTAGCACAATAAAATTTTTAAAAAAAAAAAAACTCCTCATAAGAAAGTGAAGAAGAGGCAGCAATTGGAGATTGCTTACATACAGAGGGATTGACCAAATAAATAAATATATTCAGTGGGAAAAAACAGAAAACCCTGTATCCAAACTGATATAAATAGATAAATAAATGTGAAGTTTGACGAGGAACGGGATATTTGTAGTCTCAAAATCGTCCCCTCCTCCCCAATTACTTATTGTCTACAATGAGCAAAAGAATGATTTTACAGTGGAGAAGGCTGGCAGATAGCACCTTACTCAAATGATCAAAAGGCACACCATCAGTAACGGGTCATATTTAAATACTGTGCATCACTGGCTAGGATATAATAAGAAAACCCAGCATCCTGCTGTGATATTCCTGTCAAAGATGCATGAACCCAGTCAAGAAGGGAGATATCAGACAAACCCAAACTGAGGGGTTTTCTAAAAAGGACTGGCTTGTAATCTTCAAAAATGTCAAGGTCATAAAAGACAAGGAAAAACCACGGAACTGTTCCAGATTAAAGAAGAATGAAAAGATTTGGCGCGACGTGACGCGACGTGAGATCCTAGACTGAATCATTTCTCTATAAAGGTCATTACTGGGACAATTGTTGAAACTGGGATGGTGCCCAAGGATCAGATGGCCTCTGTTGTAATGCAGCAATGTTGATTTCCTGACTCTGGTGGTTGTGTAGAGGAAAACCCTTGCTTACAGAAAATTCTCAAGAACTGGGGGTGATGGGGCCTAAGGTCTGTGTTCTCAGATGGTTTCGGAAGAAAAGCTCTTCATAGTGTTCATGAAGCTTTTCTGTAAGTTTGAGAAACTGTTTCAAGAGAGCCGCACTGGGAGGCATCATTTATCTAGGTCCCTTCTCTGACCCAGAGAGCTTGTGTCAGGGTAGAGAAATAAACACAGATACAAAAACTTAACAAAAGTCACCTGCCCTAAACCTCTATCTTTCTAGAGTTGTCTGCGATGATATTATTATTAAGTATAATAGCCGCATTTATTGAGGGCTTACTCTCTTCCAGGCACAGGACTAAAGGCTGTGATTTGCCCAAGTTCACACACCTGGCCAGCGGTGGATGGAGCCAAGGAGAACGGGTGCTTTTGCCAGGGTGACGCTGCCTCCGTTGGCTGCTTTAGGTGGAGCAAGACAGCCGTGGCTATTCTGCACAAAGCACAGGTGAGCAGGCTTCTTGGCTGTAGGCAGGGGTGCCAAGTCACAGATGGAGGAAGGCGATAGAAATGGGAGCCTTCTCTGTGGGACCTGATCCCCCACTAGCTAAGCTGATGGCTTTCCCATTTTCTTGCCATGGGGCTCTCCTGTAACAAGACAAATTACTCTATCAATCCTCCCTTTGCCAGCAGATGAAGATGCCCAGCCTGCCAGACGGTGTCCTGCGGTTTCCCCTGCTGTTCCAGACCAGTCACAGGTTACAGTCCTGTTAGCGAGAGCCACACGCCGAGCTGGAATCCCAGCGTGGAGCCTCGGGCTGGGGGCATGGCGTGTGACAGAAAGAGCGGAGGCTGAATGGAGGCCCCCCCACCCCATCTGCTGTTTCTCTGCTCCTTCCTCCTTCTCTTCCTAAAAACATCGAGGAAATGCCTGCAAGCTGAGCTCAGAAAGCATGCGTTACAAGGCCCTGAGCTGGGCAGTGACTGTGCCACAGACAGTATCCACGCTCGCTTCCACAAACCTGCCTTCCGCCTTCCCCAGCACCACCCCAAATCGCACAGGACCCTCTGGAGTCTCAGCCCCTCTGTGGAACTCTCCCTTCTCTGAATTCTCTCACAATTCACCTCTGGCACAGAGTCTAACAGAGGCTGAACTTCACGCTCTAGTTTCAAACCAACTGTTGAATGCGTGCAGGATTGCGTGAGCACCTGATCAGAGCTACGGCAGGTATTGGTGACAGGGCGGGAAGGAAGACACAGCCCCTGCCTCGTGGAGCTTACACCCTAGCACGGAAGACAGATTAAACAAAGAATGGCAAGTAGAGTGTTAACACAGCGGAGGTAAGGGCTGCTTGGTGCAGAGAACAAAGGAAGTGAGCTGAATCAAAGAATTCAAGGGAAGCCTGCCAGCTTCTGAGTTTTCTTACTCTTTGTGCCTGGAAGTCTAGTCTTCCCTATAAACTGCATATGCTTCAAGACCAAGAGCCAGATGTGATTTAGCCCTAATGTCCTTCGTGAGAAATCATCAGAAAACACCGGCGAGTTCGAATGCAGCTAATGTGAGTGGTGCCTGTAGGGTCACATGCTGTCCCATGTTCCACCCACGGCACCCGAGGGGACTTAGGACACTCCTGGGGCTTCACAAGGAAGAAAATATATACAAATTGCATAGGATTTGCTGCCCCAGTTCCTTGGCCTTGCTTCTTGCTTAGTTTCCTCTCTCTGAGCTGCCCTGGCATTGGCCTAGAAGGAATCCTAACCCCCAGTAAAAATAAAATGTGGATCTTACACAAACCTGCGTGAAGGTCTCTCAACAGAAAAGTGCCAGGACCCCGAACCCAGCGGCCTGAGCAGAAAGTGGAAATGCCGACTTTCTTCATGAAAAGCCCACAATTAATTAACTTTAACAGAATTAACTTCATTCAATGGTTATGACAATTATACTTTGTGCTCAGAAGCACATAGGCCCTGGGACGGTACACAGGAGGCTGGGATGTGGTGAGGCCCTCAAGGAGCTTACAGTGCGTCAGGGAGGGAATCCATTCAGAGATAATGATAATAATGACAGTTTCCAGTGAGCGGACGATGCCCAGGGCCTGGTGTCTATTAGTTTCTCCCTCGCAACCTCTAGATGAGGTTCGAGTGTTCCCATTTTTAGGATGAGGAAACTGAGGCTCTGAGATTTTAATTTTCCCAAAGTTAGAGCAGGCTAGTTACAGAGCCAGGATCTGAACCCAGCTACTCTATTTAACTCCAAGGTCTGTTTTTTTCTTTTTCACTAATCTATGCTGGACACATCAAAATGAATCTTTTTCACTTTATAAAGCAGAATGATATAAGTGCTCCACAAGAGACACATAAGTTATCATAAGAGTCAGAGGGGTCAGACAGCTTCAAGGGTGGGGAAGGTCTCAGAAAGGCGGCAATTTTTAGATATTAATTTTTGTTTTTCTCTTTTCGATTCAGAAGGATCCTTACTGTTAACTAGTCCAGCATTTCCTATGTGTAATCTGTAGGGCAAGATATTCCTTTAAAGAGTGTGTGTGTGTGTGTGTGTGTGTGTGTGTGTGTGTGTGTGTTCAAGCACGTGTGTAGTTTTAAATCCTGGGCAAGTTTGCAACTCATGTCCCCTTCTGGGTAGCTCACAATGCCCATTAGCAAATTAAAGGCTCTGAGAAGGTCCGCAGTTAGGATTTCCCAAACTTACTTGACCATGCCACCCTCTTTTGAAAAAAACCTATGAACATCCCAAGGAATTCTTTTATTTTCCTAATTTTTAATGTGAACCATTTTTTAAAGTCTTTATTGAACTTGTTACAATACTGCTTCTGTTTTTTATGTTTTGGTTTTTTGGCCGCAAGGCAGGTGGGATCTTAGCTCCCCGACCAGGGATCGAACCTGCACCTCCTGCATTGGAAGGCGAAGTCTTAACCACTGGACAGCCAGGGAATTCCCCCTAATTTTTAAAATTAAGATATAATTGACATATAACATTATACGAGTTTCAGGTGTACAACATACTGATCTGGTATTTTCAAATGTGAATCACCACAGTAAGTCGAGGTAACATCTGTCACCACACATAGTTAGAATTTGTTTTCTTGTGATGAGAACTTTTAAGATCTACTCTCTTAGCAACTTTTAAATATACGATACAGTGTTGTTAACTACAGTCACCATGCTGTACATCATATCCTCAGGATTGATTTATTTATAACTGGAAGATTGTACCTTTGGACCCCCTTCACTCATTTTGCTCACCCCTCCGACCCCAGCCTCTGGCAACCAGCCATCAGTTCTTTGTATCTGTGAGCTCATTTTGGGATTTGTTTTTTAGATTCCACATAAGTGAGATCATACGGTATTTGTCTTCCTCTGACTTATTTCACTCAGCATAATGTCCTCAAGGCCCAATCATTTTGTCACAAATGTCAAGAGTTCCTTCTTTTTTATGGCTGAATAATATTCCATTAGGTGAATACACCACATTTTCTTTATCTATTCATCCATTGACAGACACTTAGGTGTCTGTCATTTGATTTGCATTTCCCTGGTGATTAGTGATGCTGAGCACCTTTTTATGAACCTGGAATTCTTATTCCTCAGAATATCCAGGTAGTCCAATTCCATCATTTTATAGGAAAGGAAAGCAGGACCAGAGAAGGTGAGTGCTGGGCCCGAGATCCCAGCAAGACAGGAGTCAGAGCCGGGCTGGCACTGAGCAGGACTGTGCAGGTTGGGTAGACTGTGACAGCCACAAGGATCAATGTCAGTCAATTTGTGGAGGCAGGAAGCAGTCCTTCAGTTTGGAGAAAGGAGAAGAGCCTGCTTTGGCCTCTGTGCCAAGTGCCCAAGGAGCTAGGAAGATGGAGAAGCCCGGCGGAGGGAAGGCATGTGTGATCCCCAAACACTGGTAGGGGACGGTGTTTGTCCTTTATTCAGTAGCAGGGAGCCACTGAAGGTCTGAAGCATGGAGAGGTGTGATCTGACCTGTGCGGTACGAAAACTTCAGTGAAGATGTGTGCAACTTAGAATGACTGGGAGGAAAAACTAGAGGCAGAGAGATGAGGGCAGGCAAGAGGCAAAAGGGGACCGTGAGTTAGACATGGCTCCTCCCATTTCATAAAAAAGGAGACCAAGTAGAGAAGTCACCCAGCCCAATGTCACACAGCCAGTAGCCAGCAGAGCCAACAATTACATTAATGATGATTTACTCATTTTCAGTCAGAATGATTTTCTACACTTTCTGTTTATAGCAGCTTTATCGAGAGTTAAGCAACAAACCATACAATTCGCCCATCTGAAGGATGACATTCAATGGCTTTTAGTATATTCACAGATTTGCACATCAATCACCTCAAAAAGAAACTCCACATCCTTTAGCTATCATTTCCCATACCCTCTAGCCCTAGGCAACCACTTTCTGTCTATATAAATGGACTATATATAATGCTATTATATGCAAATCCACTTTCTGAGTCTATAAAGTCCCCTACTCTGGACACATCATATTAATGCAATTATATAATCTGTTGTCTTGTGACTAGATTCTTTCACTTAGCATAATGATTTCAAGGTTCATACATGTTGAGGCATGAATCAGTACTCCATTCCTTTTTATGCCCAGATGATATTCCATCGTATAGTTATACTACACTTCATTTATCCATTCACAAGCTGATGGACATTTGGGTTGTCTCCACCTTTTGGCTATTGTGAATAATGTTGCTGTAACCATTCGTGTCCACGTTTTGGTGCAGACGGATGTTTTCATTTCCTTGGGCATCTACCCAGGAGTGGACCTGCTGGGTCATGTGGTAGCTCTATGCTTAACATTTTGCGGGGCTGCCAGCCTGCTTTCCGAGGTGGCCACACTCCTTTATGTTCCCACCAGCTGTGTATAAGGGTTCAGTTTCTCCACATCTTCTCAAACACTGGCTCTTGTTTGTCTTTTTAACTTTAGCCAGCCTAGTTGGTGTGAAGTGGTATCTCACTGTAACTTTGATTTGCAATTTCCTTAGTGACTAATGACGTGGAACATATTTTCATGTACTTACTTGTGTATGTGTCTTGGAGAAATGTCTATTCAGATCCTTTGTTCATTGTTTAAACTTGGTTATTTGTCTTTTTGTTATTGATCTGTGTGAATTCCTTAGGTATTCTATGTATAAGAATACATACATATTGGTGTTCTTTGAAGCACAAAAGTTTTAAATTTTGGTGAAGTCCAATTTATCTAGTTTTTGTTTCTTGTGCTTTTCGGTGTCATATCTAAGAAACCACTGAATAATCCAAGCTCACGAAGAGGTAAAGGTCCGACTTCATTTTTTTGCAAGTGAATATCTAACACAATTTGTTGAAAAATATTTTTTTTCTCCTATTTGTCTTGACACCCTTTTTAAAATCCAACTGACCATAAATGTAAAGGTTTATTCTGGACTCTCAGTTCTATTCCTTTATCCTATACGTCTTATTCCTGGACCACACTGTCTTGATTACTATAGTTTTGTAGTAAGTTTGAAATCAGGATGTGAGAGTCCTCCAACTTTATTCTTGTTTAAGATTGTTTTTACCATCCTGGGTTTCTTGCATGTCTATACGAATTTTAGAACCAGACTGTCAATTTCTTCAAAAATTCCAGCTGGGATTTTGATAGAGACTGTGTTGGATTTGCATATTACTTAGGGGATTATTGCCATTTTAACAGTATTAAGTCTTCCAATCTATGAAGATGGGATATCTTTCCATACTTCACTCCTTTTTATTGCTGAATAATATTCCACTGCTTGAACACAGTACATTTTAATTTATCCATTTGGACATGTGGGTTATTTTCTACCTTTTGCTATTATGAATAATATTGCTATGAATGTTCATGTACATGTTTTTGTCAGGATTATGTTTTCATTTCTTCCGGGTATATACACAGGATGAAAATGCTGGGTCATATAGTAACTCTCTGTTTAACATGTTGAGGAACTGCCTGATTGTTTTCTAAAGCGTCTGCACTATTTTACACTATTTTACACCATGTCCATTCTCAACAATGTATAAATTCCGATTTCACCACACCTTAACTAACATTTGTTATCATCTATTTTAGCCATCCTGGTGGGTGTGAACTGGTATCTCATTGTGGTTTTGATTTGCATTTCCCCATTGGCTAATGATGTTCAGCATCTTTTCACGTGTTTATTGGTTCTCCCCTTCCCTTGCTTCAAGGGCTGTAAAGCAATGAAGAGCTGTGGGCAACTCAGGTGGCTGATGGGTCACATCTGGCTTGAGCGATGGGCATCCAAGCACGATGAGCAGTGCCCGTCACCCCTCTGGTCAGTTATGGGAGGTATGGTATGGTATCGTATGGTATGGTATGGAGTGATGTGTGGCGTGGTGTGGCGTGGCATGGCGTGGTATGGTTTGCCCAGAACAGCTTGCTGCAGCCCCGGGGCAGCCGGTAGTCCCAGCGTAGTGGGTAGAAAGGTTCTGAAATAGGAAGCAGCTCCTTCTGAGCCCAGCTATTTGCTGAACTGCTTCCAAGGGAATCTGCCTATTTCCTTCCGTCTAAAATAGATAACACATAGAAACACCAGATCCTCGAAACCTGATGAAGACAAACAAGTGACAGAAAGGCGGCATCCTGGGAGATCCTGGCAGGGGAGATCCATCTGTCCGATATGGGCTTTGTCGGAAAAAGAGGAAGGGGGGTGCAGAGGGCTGACAGTGCCTCCTGAGTGTCAGGGGACACAGCAGGGAGGAATCTGAATACCTGGGTGTTTGGTGGGCCTCCTGGGGGCTCTGCTAATAAAGAGGTGCAGCTCCTTTCTCAGAGCCCCACGATGTGGCAACTCAGAGAAAGCGCCCGTCTTGAAGCCCCTCAGATATCATCAGTCAGTGCTGCATGCCAGCCGAAACCAGCTGTGGGAGGAGGTCCAAGATGAACATCTGGCTGGTCCCGCCTCTGCCTTAGGATGTCGTGAGGCCCCGAGGGAAGCTGGACTTGGGTTGCCAAGGTCAACCACAAGCTCTGTGTTCTTGGTTGGCATGCTCCTTGGAATGTATCATTAATAGAAAGTGGATGTCCAAGGAAAGTGAGGCAGCAACCCATCGAACTCCACATGGAGGGAACTGGGCTTTTAACTGGTCCTCAGTAACATGGTGGGCACTCAGAGGAGAGAGACCAGGAGGGCGAATGGCTTGTTACGTCATGGGATCTTAAAAATGACACCTCATTTGGAGAAAAAGAAGACCCAGGAAGATGTAATAACTGTTTGAAATCGCTTAAAGCAAAACTGTTAAATGGAAGAGGAACCAGTGCGTGTGAATCTAGGGAACAGAACCACTGTTCTAGAAGTTACACTGTAGAAATTCTGTAGAAATTACACTGTCATGGTTTGAACTCATTCTAAGTAAGAACTTTAACAATACGAATGATCTGAAACCAGAACCGACTGCCCTGTAAGGTAACGGATTCCCTGACACTAGAGGTGTTTGCACAGAAGCTGAGCAATCATTGATAGGGCGACATAAAGGGCATTCAGATATGTGAAAGAGGGCGTGATAGTCTCAAAAAACTCAAAAAACTCCCGACTCTGAATCGATTTTGGCTGCACCGTATGAAATTGCCACTATTCCCCTCTCTGGCCAGTAAGACTCCTTTCACTTGAGAACAGTCCAGGCACAAAGGAGAACCATAAAAATACATAACATCCAAACTGATCGCAATTGCCAACCAGTGGATTTTATCTTATATATGCTCGGTTCGGGGGCATTTCATGATGCTTTATTTAGGCTAGTAGTTTGAAGATTCTTCTCCCTCCACTGGATACCACACTGTGTAAGATATTACAAGAGAGAGACTACCTGTCAATGGTAAGACCTTCCGGCACTGCTGGCGCCCAAACCGTCTAGCTCAGAGTCTGCAACAGATCTGCGCTGTGATGAATTATGAGCAAAGGGGAACATCTCTGTTTAAGAGAGGTATATGCTTAGGGGTCAAAGGGACAGATGGGCCGATTATACTGGAGGCTACCCTAGAATTAAGTCTTGCCAGACTGGAACCTGTGGGATTCTTCAAACCCTGTGGAAGGGGGAGATGCAGCCTGAAATTCATCTCAGAATATGGTCCTGGACCTGGACCATTCATGAACCATAAGTATTCCTGCTGCACAGCTCTCCAGTGCAAAGGGCTGCTGAAGAGACAGATGGAACAGAAAACAGAAAGGGTACACGCACACGTGTGCATGCACACACACACACAGCTTTGTATCAATACTGATTTTTGAAACTGAAATGAACTTGATCCATAAAAACAATGAAAACTCAGACTGAAAAAAATAGCATAGCAATTTAAAAAAACAGGTTTTAATTGAAAAGCACACATTTCCTTAATCCTTGTCAGCATTGCTGCTATCTTTGGCATTGCACAGAGAGACTAAATGATGTAATGGATAAGACAGTTTGCTCAGGAAGACTTCCTGAGTTTCAGCTCTGGTTCTATCATTTACAGGCTGTGTAACCTACGGAAGTTACTTTACTTCTCTGTGCCTTAGTTTTCACATCTATCAATATAAAAAAGATGAGGTAAAGCAGATGCGGTACATACACACAGTGGAATACTACTCAGCCGTCAAAAAGAAGGAAATCATGCCATCTGCAGCAACATGGATGAGACTACCACACTAAGTGAAGCAACTCAGACAACAACAAATATCATATGGTATCACTTATACGTGGAATCTAAAAGAACGATACAAATGAACTTATTTACACAACAGAAACAGACTCACAGACTTTGAAAACAAACTTATGGTTACCAAAGGGGAAATGTGGAGGGGAGGGATAAATCAGGAGTATGGGATTAAGATATATACATTACTATACATAAAACAGATATTCAACAGAGACCTACTGTATAGCCCAGGGAATGTTAATTAATATTCTGTAATAACCTATAGGGGAAAAGAATCTGAAAAACAATGGTTATATGTATATGTGTAACTGAATCACTTAGCTGTACACCTGAAACTAACACAACACTGTAAAGCAACTATACTGCAATATAAAATAAAACTTAAAAGATGAGGATAATTATAATAATATGTACCTCATGGAGTATTATGAGATTTAAATGTAAGGTACTTAGAATGATGCCTATCATATAGTAACACTCAATAAATGTTATACTCAATAAATGTTATGTTTTATAGTAATACTCAATACTCAATAAATGTTATGTTTTATTATTATATATTACTCAATAAATGTTACGTTTTATTATTATACTCAATGAATGTTATGTTTTATTATTATATGATATTACAACAGCTAATTTTCATAAAACAGGAAATTAAATTCCAGGTCAACTGGAGGGACAGGTGGGGCAGAGAAGGTGGGATTTTTTCTGATAGTTTCAATAAGAAAGATATAAAATCAAGGTATTCGATCAGAGCTGCAGTTTTCAACACTTGTTACTCACCAGCATCAACTGGGGAGCAATTTAAACAAAGACTGGCTGTATCAGACCAATTAAATGATAATATCTGGGAGTGAAGCTCAGGCTGCCGTATTTTTCAAAAGCTCAGCAGATGATACTAGTGTGTAGTAGGGGCTGAGCATCGCTGGACAAGGTTCTCGCTGCTTAGAGTGTGGTTCAGGGATCAGCAGCGTCGACCTTGCCTGCAAGTGTCAGAGCCTCACCTGCAAGTGTCAGAGCCTCACCTGCAAGTGTCAGAGCCACAAAACCTCAGGCCCCGCCTCGCCCGAGACCTACTGCATCAGAGCTGTATTTTAACAAGATCCCCTGGTGGTTCACATGCACACGGACATTTCAGGAGCACTGGATTAGATGACTTCCAAGGTCACTTTCCGCCCTGAGGTAGGTGTCCAATAAATGCTAAATGAAATAATGGCACAGTAATCTGATGTCCCAGGAAAGTCCTAGGCAGAAAGGCTTCTGGAACCAGGAGCAGCAGGGATGCCACAAGAGCCCAAAACTGGTTTTTCCCTGACCTAGAAATCTTGACAAAAGCACACTTGTGCTTACAGGCCAGGAGCAATTAATTAGCAGGGTGTCCCTGGCAAGCTTCTGGGGCCAATGGAAAAGCATGACGGGAAGTGACACAGATCAACAGGAATCAGAGACAGAGAGTAAAAGAGGTAAGAGTTTCATCTTCCCAAGGTCTCAACGAACCTTGGTTCTCATGGACTTCCAGTGCTGTGCATGGCAAGCATGAGCCATTCACATTTTGAACTGGCTTCTTCCAACGAGGTGTGCTCACCACCGACATAGGCATCCTTAACTCCCATTTACTGTCTTTTTTCCCCACAGTTCTCTGTTCCTTCCTTAGCTATCAGAGCACAGCTGCACATTCCTATCAACCCCAATTATTTCTGTCCTCTTACTTCACCCTCCAAATCCACCTCTTCTTTAAATTTATTTTTATTTTTTTAATTTTTGGCTGTGTTGCGTCTTCGTTGCTGTGCGCAGGCTTTTCTCTAGTTGTGGCGAGCAGGGGCTACTCTTCGTTGTGGTGCGCGGGCTCCTCATTGCGGTGGCTTCTCTCGTTGTGGAGCACGGGCTCTAGGCACGCGGGCTTCAGTAGTTGTGGCACGCGGGCTTCAGTAGTTGTGGCTCACGGGCTCTAGAGCGCAGGCTCAGTAGTTGTGACGCATGGACTTAGCTGCTCTGCGGCATGTGGTATCTTCCCGGACTAGGGCTCGAACCCATGTCCCCAGCATTGGCAGGTGGATTCTTAACCACTGTGCCACCAGGGAAGTGCCTATACTTTCTTGTCTTTATGAATTTGACTATTCTGGGGACCTCACATAAGTAGAATCAGCAATATTTTTCCTTGTATAACTGGCTTATTTCACTTAGCGTAACGTCTTCAAGGTTCATCCACGTTGTAACGTGTGTCAGGATTTCCTTCTGATTTTTACCCAGCATCTTTCTACTCTGGGAGACGTTGAATAGCTCTTTATCTAGACAAGGTCATTCTGTATAGTGGGGAGAGGACAGAGGGAGGCCTACAACTTGTCTCTGCTTTGTCCACGAGAGCCATCAACACAAGAAAAGGACCCTGGATGAGGGGTTAGGGCCTTTGTCTGTGAGTAAAATTGGAAAAGGTTGAGGGGCAAATGGGAGGAGCCCATAAATAGGAGAACAGGACCAAAGACCCAGAGGTGGGCCTGAAGCTGGTGTGTGTGTGTGTGTGTGTGTGTGTGTGTGTGTGTGTGTATGTGTGTATGTGTGTGTGTGTGTGTGTGTGTACACGAGAGGGGAGATTCTTCTACAACTAGCTTAGCTTCCCAAATTTCACCTGCTCATATATGGAGCAACTAGGGCTGCCTCTGGGCACCATTTGTTCTAGAGCACTGGAGTGCAGAATGCCGTCCCTCACCGGGCTGCTCTTGGTCTTCGGGTGAGCTGTTGTTGGTGTGTGTGAAGCTGGGTCCCCTGCTGCCTCCACTTGGCTCAAGCCCTCCCCCTTCCCTCCCCCCAGGGCCCTGGTCCCTAGGAATCCAAAGCTCAGCCCAGGACAGAGTTTCAGCCCCAGATTCAGGGAGCTGGCATCTCAGGAGGGAACAAAAGGGGGAAGCAGGACTCTTTTGCTTAGAGTCTCAGAAAAGGGAGCTTGCATCTCAGGAGGGAACAAAAGGGGGAGGCAGGACTCTTTTGCTTAGAGTCTCAGAATAGGGTAGAGCTGGAAGGGACCTCAGTGGTGCCCTGTCCTCATTTTATTCTGGGGAAACTGAGGCCCAGGAGGGTGGTGCCACTTGCCCAAAGTCACACAGTGGACCTAAGACAAGAATTCAGGTCTCCGCTGTTCCCATAAGCCTCAGCTGCTTCTTCTAAGCCGTGGTTGCCTCAGCAACAACGAATTCTCATTTGCCCCCTCCTTGCCAGCCTCCAGGCCTTCCAACTGACTCGGTACCTCTGCCCGTATCTCCAGGGGCCGAAGCTTCGAAAACCCGTTTCAGAAGCAGCCCTCTGTCACCTCCTGCTATTAGGTGCACCCTCCCCAGGTTGCATCTTCCCTGTTGCCCTCTGGGATGCCCCCCAGCCCAGTTCCTTTTGTCATGATTGCTTACTTTTTCGACCAAAACTGCTGCGAGGCCTTGGGCAAACCATCTGTAGAGTAAAATCCCAACTAGAGTAGGAAATTATTGAGCAAGCTGAACGTCGCCACAGAGGGCTTGAAACCCCCTTCCCACCTGAGCAGCCCACCCGCCCCAAACCCCTCTTCACGTACCTTTGTTTCGGGGGTGGGGGGGGCAACGGCTCTCTTGTTTCCAAGAAATGACTGAAATGCCCTAACAGGGACAGCTCAAGATTTGAAATTACTACTATATTGATTCAGTCAAGTTCTTACCTTCGGAATTTTGAACTGATCTGGGCAAAACTTTGTGAACGTTTCAACACACCGACTTTATAATCTCATTAGTGCAAATTCAACTGACAGACACTGAAACAGCCCTGGGGAGAGGGGGGGAGCTGAGACGCGCAGACACTTACAAGGGGCAATTTCCTTTGCACCTGGAGATGAGAAATCACAGTTGTCAGCCCTCGCTTTGAAAGGCAGGAAGATGGGCGATAAAGTCTGAGCTGCACGCAGAGCTTGGACACGTTCTACTCCCTCCCAGGGAGGGGGCTGGAGCCCAAAGCAGAGGAGGACGCAGAGGCATCCCGTATAGCTCACACCTCTCACAAGGGAGAGCAGGGATTAAAGCCATCAAAACAGATCAGACTGCCTCTGCCCTCGGCTCCCCTACAGCCTCCACCGGGAGCATCACCACATCTGCGATCCTCATCAGCAGAAATTACGCACAAGTCCTAGAGCTTTGCCCGTCCTCCTAAGAGTTTAATCGACCTTGTACTTGCTCCTTATTTCCAGAGATCTCAGTGACGCTCTAGCAGCAGCTCCAGGAATCTGGACCTGGAAACTTCCCTTCTGGCACAGAACTGCCAGACCTTTATTTTGTCAAGATGCCAAAACAAAACGAAATGAAGTGAAAAACAAACAACTCGCATCACCACGATTTCTTTTTTTTTTTTTTTTTTTTAAAGAAGGGCACTTTCATGCCAAATAAATAAATAAAGCTCTTGACATAGCTCTTAATTTTCTCATTTGGACACGGTCCTCATTTGGACCCAGGGGATAAAGACACCCCCCCCCCCGCGGGTCTCTAGATATGCCTTTGGATAACTGAAAACTACATTTCCAACTTCAGTCCCTACAGCTGTCCCTGATCTGCTTCCCTCCCCTAAAATATACCCTTTAATCCATCTTAACAACCCAGGGCGCACATCCTCCTGTTTTCTATCCCTTGGAAACGCCCTCCCCGTCCTCTCCCAGCGGCTCTTACTCATTCTTGAGCTCCTCTGCTTCAGAAGCCTCCCCTCCCTCTGCAGGCAGAGGGCTGTCCCTCCGCTGCACCTTTGCAATACAATTAATCATAATGCATTGTACCCAGTTACGCTGAGACGGCTGCCTCTTCTCCTGCAAACTCCTTGAGGGCAGAGGCAATCTGTCCATGACCCTCATAGCCCTAAGTATCCTGCAGAAAGTCCCCCCAAACCCCCAATTGACTCAGTACCTCTGCCCGTATCTCCAGGGGCCGAAGATCTGAAAACCCATTTCAGAAGCAGCCCTCTGTCATCTCCCGCTATTAGGTGCGCCCTCCCCAGGTGGGGGTGTCTGTCATACCCCCACTCAGCCACGGGTGGAGGAGGGAATGACGGACACACGGGCCGCTAATTCACCAAGCAGGTACCCAAACAGTGCCAGTGTTACTGAGGCTACACCAAAGCAGAAAACAAGGGCCTTGCCCTTGGGGAGTTCACCTTTAGGGAACTGCGTAAATCAAACAGACTTAGAGGAGACAATATAAACCATTTGGAATCAGGGTGAGTCAGACTGTGGGCATAATAGCTGAGGGAATTTTAAACGAAGGGGAAGTCATCTCAGGGTGGGGTTTGCCAGCGAAGGTTTCATGGAAGAGTTGAGTTTTAACCTGGGCCTTGAAGGAAGTATAGAAATCAGATTAGCAGAGGAAAGTGAGGAGAATCAAGGAGGGGTGACGAGTAGGAGTGGAGGCTTGAAGGAATTAGGTGGCGTCAAAACCAGCTGGGCGCCAGGCTTAGGGCAGGTGGTAAGAACTAAGGGATCCCAGGAGCGTGTTCAGGTCGGGCCGGAAAACTCGGACTAGCCGGTAGGGGAACCTAAGTGCCAAGCAGAGTAATCAGATTTTGTGGCTGGAAATAAAATTTTCTTTTACTTTTATTGGAAAGATTAGGCATCCTCCAGTCCAACCCACTCATTTCACAGATGAGAAAACCGAGGCACAGAGAGGGCGTGTGCCCCCCCCCAGGTACTGGAACAGTGGCAACTGCAGTAAAAGTAAAGGCAGGGGCTGGTGTTCAGAGAACCCTCACGGGTGGAGCATCACTCTAAGCCCTCTAGATGCACCTCTCACTGGATCCTCACAACGCCTCTGAGGCAGGTGCTACGCGGATGCCCATGCTGCGGACCAGGAGGCTGCAAAGTTAAGCAGCTCACTCAAGTTCACGAGGTAACAGAGGACAAATGACACAGTCAGCACTTCGGAACTGATCTCACAGGGTGCTGGTGCAAAGAACAGAGGATTTGGAATCACAGGCCATGCATTCAAACTCTGGCTCCACCTCGGTTGTCATGTGACCTCAGGCAAGTTACCTAACCGCGCTGATCCTCTGTACCCTCACTGGTACAGAGAGGATAACAATACCTCTCACAAGATTTCTGCAGGGATTAAATACGATTACGTGTCAAGTTCCTGGCACACAGTATGTGCTCAGTAAACGTGGGTTCCCTCCCACCTCCTTCCTTCCAGGAGCCTTGACACCACTTTCTAGGGTCGTACGGCTGCAACTCCTCCCCTCGCCTCCCGTGTCCTCCCCCCACCTCTGGACACTGTTCCTCCAGGCTGTGATGTCCGGCCCTGGAAGTAACTGGAGGGGAGGCATGGTGGCAGTGGGGGAGGAGTCAGGCTTTCCTGATAGACGGGCACCATCCTCACTTGGCTCTGGTGATGTTAGCAGCATGGGTGGCAGGACAAATCTGCTCCCTGGCTTGGGGTGAGGTGCAGAAAGGCCCACAGTGGACCAGCGAAAAGACACAAGCGAAACTTCCCCAACCCTCCATGGACTCACCTCTCCCCGGCCCAAGCCCTTGGCTTCCTGGGTTTCTTGAGTTCCTTATTCCCTCCCCACCCTCTTCCCTCAAACCGTCTTACATGCTGAGTTGTGCTGCTTAATTGTTCCATAGGAGGCCTCCAAAAATGTCTAGGGAGACTGGTTGGAAAGGGTCAAACAATTATATCAAGACGTTTGCTCAAACTAGGCTTCCTGTGATGGAGAGAGAAGATGCATATCTTCTTTCCTGGCTAAGAGACGGGATAGGATGAGCATTTCTCCTTGTAAATTTTAAGTGTTTAACAGCTTCTCGGCTTCTTGGTTGTAAACCACCATCTTCTATCCCCTCAAGTGTTGGCAAGTTTCAGCACATCAGGAATCAGTGTTTGGGGGGCTATGGAAGTGCATTCACTGGGTTAGCAAGTCCCTCTGAAGAAAAGGTCATTAAGGTAAACCAGGAGTTAACAAATCAGTGTGCTGTAGACTCTGTTTCTATTGGATTTAAATGACGGTGAAGAGCTCAGAGAAGACATCAGGGGACGGGACCGAGCATTCCGGAAGCACCCACTGTGCGCAAGGCACCGCGCTAGTGCTCTGTGTTTACGTTTTCTTACTCCTTCCCACACCAAGGAAGCCAACGACGCTGAAGCACCCAGTCAGCCAGTCCAGTCCTGGGTTGTGGTCGATCTCACTTCCCAGCTGTGGACCCGAGACACACTCATCTCTCTCGGCCTTGATTTCCACACTGAAAAGCAGCTCCGGGGGGTAAAGACTGTAGAGCAGGTACCCTCCTGGCCCGGGGCTGGCGCTCGGGACTGGCTAGGGCTGAGCGGCGAGGCCGGGGAGGTCTGGGGAGGACTCGCCAGGACTCTGCTCTGCAGCTTGGGAAGCATTCAATCGTGTCTTGATCTACCAAATTGAGTTTCATTCTGCTGAAAGCGAGTGTGCGCTGTTCAGCTGGGCCTGGGGTGTTCTGCAGAGCGTGAGGGAGCCCTGGGGCGGAGGTCAAGCTGGCCCACGGCTGGCTGGTCCAGGTCATGGGCCTCAGTCTGCACACCTGTAAATGACACGCCAGACCCAGCGATCACTGAAGTTCGTTCCCACCGGGCAAAGAACCCCATGTTCCGAAACGAATTCGTTTACAGAATCTTAACAGTCCCATTCCGGCTTTTCAAATGTGACAGGCAGCTTAGGAGGTACAAGGAAAATCTCTCTTAAGCAATTTCAAAACAAAACAAAGCAAGCTCTGGGAGCTGCCTCAGCACTGGATGTTTTCCACTTCTCACCCTGTTCACCTGCACGGAGAACAAAAACAAGAAACTTCCCCCACACCTTTTTTTTTTTCCTCATAACACACACATTGTCTTTCTACCTGGCTTTTCCTTCAGCTGGGTGCCAGCAGGGTGGATAAGATCTTTCGGGAACTTTTATAGCGTCACATACGTATGCAGATTGGCAAAGTGTTTATAGCAGCAGGGACCACAACAGCGCCCTGAGGTTCCAATTAGTGAGAACAGCCCCGCAACTTAAGCAGCTCTGAGCACCGTGGATGCAGATGCCGGAGGGCAGCTCCGAGCGCGGAGGGTGGGGTTGGATCCGGGGAAAGGACAGATGGTAGAGCACTCCGCGCTCCAGCATGGCTGCCACCTGGCCACACCATTCCACCTCCTGAGCCTCGGTTTCCGGTCTGCGCACTGAGAGGGTGCAGCCGTCCCAGTGCACGGGCCCCAGGCGTGCCGGCTGCACTTAACCGGGCTGGCTGCCCACCCACCCAGCTCCATCTTCCATCACGTGGACTCAGAGGCCAGCAAGCTCCAGTCCAGAGGCCCCGCCCATGCTAAGTCAAGCCCACCAGCCGCCGGCCCGCATGCGCGGTGACAGGCAGGGCCTTTAGAGCTGGACAGACCCGGGGGCAAGGCCTGGGTCACGCCCCACTCCACCACGTACTCGTTCTGTGACTCTGGGCAAATTCCTAGCCTTCCATGAGTCTCACTTTCCTTATTTGTAAAACAGAGACAGCCAGACCCGTGTTTTAGTCACACCTACGTGGAATGCACCCGTCTCACGGGGCTGTTTGGGAGGTAAAGGTTGATAAAGACACCACCGTGCCTGACGCGTCCTAAGGATTCAGTGGGTGCCGTCACTATTCAGTCACCATCTAGCACGGGCCCCAGGCTGTATATGGGGGAGGGGGATTAATAGGCAATGTGTGAAAAATGGGTTCTGGGGTCAGATTCATGAGGGAGGTGCCCAGTGATGAAGGAACGAAGGTAGAGGAGGTCCTCCTACAAGACTTCTCAGGCCCCGGGACTTTCGGAAGGCGCTACAGGGCTCGCTGTTTCCAGACTGATTTGTCCTCGGAACCCCCTCTGGTGGTGGGCCGTTTGGGGACTAGCGATCCATGAAATATTTTTTGGAAATCCTAATCAAGGGCTGAATGGGAGAAGAGGAATCTCCAAGAGAAGTACCTGGAGAGAGGGATGAAGAGCAGGGCTTCTGACGAAGGAGTAAAGACAAAGGACTTAGAAAAGATATGGACACCGGTGTACACTGGAGCCACTGGGACCCACCGTGAGGCACGGACACCCAGGGAGCTCCCGTTCACATTAGCTCATTTTGAATCTCTCCACAAACCTTTCAGGGAGCCGGGCTGGACGGTCCCCACTTCACAGATGCCCGCAGTCAGGCACTGACAGGCTAAGCTGCCAGCCTAGGACCAAGGAACTAGCAGGTGACGCATCGGGGTCGCAAGCCCAGTTTCCTTAATGTCAAGTTCTAGAGTCTTCTGTGTGAGTGAGAGGAAGGCTGATGTAGGTTCTAGCAGGCCACATTCGAACTCCACTTAGCCTGAGGCAGTGCAATAATTAAGATCCTTTGGGCTTATTTTTGGCTTTAGATGTCATCTGGTTGTTTTCATTTGCAGCCTCTTTCCAACATTTA